TGTTTTAAAATATGGATCAACATACATATAAAGTAATTCATTGATTGAAAAGTATTTTCTTAATAATATTGGTTATTAATTTACATAAAAATATCAATAAATTGGAAATATACCCTTATGAAGAAAACTTACGCATTTATGAAGAAAACTACAACATAGTTTGGACTGTTTAAATTTAGCTCTTTGTTCGCGCTTGTCATCGCTCCGTGATGGGTTAAGGAGACATAATTAATGTGTGTGGCACTACTGGAGAGAGGGGAAATGCCTCAGTGGGTCTCAGTGGGAGAGGGAGTGTCTAAGTACAGCTCACGGAAAAAAAACAAAAAAAAACAAAAGCGTAACACATTTTTTTTTAGACAACCTGCCTCTTCGTTTTTCAACCAAATAAATAGTTAGTATTAAAAAGGGAATAGATTTGTGTCGCTGTATTTTCACTTGCCCACTCGGGCAACTAGGCAGAGGAAAGCACTCGAACGCACAAACTTTTAGTTGCCCCGGGCCAGCGGACAAACCTTAATGTGATGCGTTTACAGCCACGTTTAATTTTAAGTCCCTTAATTCCTGCTCTTCCCGATTCATTGTTTTCTATTCAGGTTTTTCAGGTTTTCTAACTTTTGATATCTTTATCAATTACTAACCCTGAGTCTGTAAATAAAGTTATATATACTAAGAACATGCTTAAAAATATTAAAATAAAATCATACCTTGATCTTCCAGTCTGAAATCTGAGAGATGAATGCTCAGTCACCTCTACAATGAACCACACCCACTGATAGGAACTGAAAGTGGACTAGTTTGTTTTGACTACATTCAAATCTGCCGACAAAGAGGAGGAACGTGTTATTATTATTATTATTATTATTATTTTTTTTTTTTTGTTTAGTTTAACGTTCTGCCATGTTATAGGCCTAATGTTGAAGAGGTGTTAAGGCTCATTTATGCTACGTTCTAGACCAGGGGTGGGCAAACGTTTTGGCTCGTTGGTCACAAAAGGTTCTGAAATTTGACGGAAGGGCGGAACCAAGAGCAGATGGATGGACTGGAGAGAAAAAATAACCTGGGATATGTAGAAAACCTGTGCTTGAATTTCAATTGAAAGTCATTACAAAGCATTACATCATAATATCTGTCTTTCAAGTCCCACGGTGTTTACTCTTTATTGAAATTACTCTGAAAACACTGAAAATTTAATTAATAAAATACTTTAAAAAAAAAAAAAAAAAACTTACAGTGACTATTTTAAAGCACTGAAAGTCCTGTTCTCCTTCAGGATATTATTATCAACAGTCTCCTCCTGTCTGTCTTTATTTCAAAAACTGTAGAAGATGCAGATCTACTTCTGTTCAATGTGTCCCCAGAGATAAAACAATGACCAGCGCAAGGACGGAACAGTGCCAGCGTGCCAATATACAAGCGTGTTATATTTGGTGTGGTGTGCATTGTTTATAATGAGTGCGTTTACATGCACATCAGTATCCCAGTTATGATCGAGTTTTTTGAGTATCCCGGTTTTGTCATGGTGCATGTATACGCACTATCCCGGTTACTGCAATGTAAAGTTGAGTGCGAATGCGTCTGAAAGACAAATACTTTTCAGTCTTTTCATCACAACAGTAGCCAACATAAATAAAGTGACTATACATGAGTGACTGCACTAAACTTGCACACTAATCTGCACCTGTATGACCTGCACACGTATGGTCGCTGAAAAGTTAAACATGAAATATCTCCTACAATATGAACAGAACAGACTCACCATCATCAACACCTCCTCTGTCAAAGAAAGAAACACATCTATTCCACTGACACATGTCCTTTAGTCCGACAGAAGCTGAACTGCATCAGGACACAAGAAGCGAGCTTATCAGTGCTAACAGTTTATGCAACTGAGTCATGCAGTTTTAAGTTTTGTTTTTGTAAAACGTAAACAAATGTGTCAAACCTGCATTATATTATCAAACAGCTGATGTAGTTATGGTTTGTATGTTGTAAATGTAACATGTAAGGAAAATTTACTTTTGTTTTTATTTTGAATTTCACCAAATCCTTCACTTCAATTCAATTTCTATTGTTATTTCATGGTTTCAGACAGATTTTAGCCTATTTCCCAATGTATATATATATATATAAATTCATAGTACAACATAAATACTGATCATTTACAAATCCACTTGTATAATTTGAACCATGTAGGAGTAATTTCATGTTTGTATTGTTCAAGTTTACTGTAATCACATGTAGTTGAGAGCTAGTTTCAGCCTTCACCATGTGTGTTTTCCTGCTGACAGATGAGCTGCATACATGGAAAAACATGTGACAAGGATTTGTGTTTTTATTTAATTTGTGCAGGTATGTGCATTGTGTTTAAGATGTTAATTCATGTGCTATGGGACATTTTAAAATACTATAATTCATGTTTTATTTTATGTAAAAAAGGTTTAAAATGCTTAAAGAGGTTTAAGTATGTCAAATGCATATGCAGTGTATGAGCTCGCAGTCTGCCCAATGCTACTAAGGAGAGGACTGATGAGCTGCGTACATGGAGAAACATGTGACAAGGATTTGTATTTTTCTTTCATTTGTGCAGAACCACCAGTAAAAGTGTATCCAGTGGTCACCAGTGTCTCATGGTCCTTCCTTCAGCGGTCGCAGTACTCAAGATCAAACATATGGAACTTTAGAACCAAAAATGGTACAGAAAAAAGGTCAACAGTTTAATAAACTAGAGTACATATGTATCTGTTGAATACATTTTTATATCAGATGCATTAACTTGAATTTTTGACCTTGCTGTTTACTTCTGCTTGACCGGGCCCAATGATAATTTATTTAAATCAAACCAGTTCTTTAGTTTACACCTAAAACATTTTGACAGTGTTTGCAACGTGCATTGTGTCTCCATGGTAACTGCTGAACATTCCACCATAGAGAGACATGTAGAACACCCCCAGCATGATTTGAGTGTTCACATGATCTTGTATTGTCCTGCATTTGAGGCGTCACAGTTCAGAAAATGACCATGTGCTCTTTTCTCAAGTCCCCACCTGCATCTCTCTTCTTACTGATAAATCCAAATTTAATTAGGTTTAGTAACAGTGACTCAGCGGGTAGAGCCACCAATACGAAGGTCAGAGGTTTGATTCCCGCTCGGACCAAGTTCACAGATTGGCAGCCTCGTCTCCATCAGTCTGTCCCAGGGCAGTTGTGGCTATTTGCTTACATTACTGAGTGTGAAGTCAATGAATAATTCCAACGCAGAGTTTTGAGAAGCTTTGACAAACCTGTAAATCACTTGTCACTTGCTTGTCTCAATGGAAATAGGTAGAGTTAATGCCATATTGTGGAACATTCTATCTAGACGAACCCGTAGTATCACCATGGAGACAAGCAGGTGGCAGACCCTCCATGAGACAAGTGTTGCGTTGCAGCTTTAGGACGTTCTTTGAGCTGTTGTGTGTGTTGTCTTCTGCAGAGACGAGCTTCCTGTTGGGGAACGCTCAGATCGTGGAGTGGCCCGTCGTCTATAGCAACGATGGATTCTGTAAACTGTCAGGGTTCCACAGGGCAGAGGTCATGCAGAAGAGCTCCACCTGCAGGTACAAGCACGCAACTGCAACACACAAACTGTAACATCAACTGACAGGACTGAACCAGAAATAAACCAGGACTAAACCAAGACTAAACTAGGGCTAAACCAGGACTGAACCAGGACTGAACCAGGACTGAACTATAAAAACGTGGTGGTTATGTCCAATGTCCCGCTGCCTCTGACAGATGAGAGGGAGGGAGCTGCGCTTTTTACCCCGACAAAACTTCACTTCCTCCGCATTAAAGCAGAAGGTGGGACACAAGCATGGATTTATTAGGAGAGAAGGGACAGGTGGGTCAATCCGTCTTAATAATACAATTTTTTATAAAGAAAACAGAGTCTTCGATTACTACATTATTACACCTCTACTCCCCAACTTCCCATTTTATGAATTCCGTTTTACACAAGAAATGTCCCTGGTGTCCCTGTTTTTAACCAATTTTAACACCTGCCAACAGTAAAGAGAGGAATAAATTGTCATTTGTTTAGGTCAAATACAGAAAAGCTGCTTTAAAATGACCAAAACACAAAGAAAATGGTGGTGAATAAGTCATGAATGAGCCAGAACAGCAGAACAGTTTTCTGTAATTACACACTTCTTTCACAATTTATTATTACCAACCACCACAAACTGGGAGTGTCCCAGTTTTTGATTTTGAAAATCTGGTCACCGCAAGCTAGGTTAATTAAGTACATCTACTTTTTGAGCATTAAACATTTTGTACTTTTTCTTATTCAAAAGCTATAATATCTTGTTTTAAATTGTTAATGGCTGAGGTAATGGTCCTAATTTGTTATTATTTTGAAACCTGTGCATTTCAGTACCTGAATGGTCCAAACTGTGATGTTATATTAATTACTTTTTCCAATGTCCAAAGAGGTCTGGCTGTAGAAAAGACAACAACTATCCATGGTGACCTTGTGAAAATAGCAGAAGAGAAAAAGTACCAAGGAACAAACTATATTATACAGTATTTTATCTCTTAAGGAAGCTGAATTCCTTCAATATCCGCCATCACATCAATGTCCATCTTTTACAATTTCATTCACTGAGACCACTCTTACTTTCTCCTTCATCTGCTGGTACAACTTCCAACTTGCATCTTAGTGTAGAATAAAAGCAGGCTGCAGAACATTGTAAAGATGGTTTACCAAATCCATGTAAAATCTCTTTCCTTTATTCTGTGAGCAACAAATCCTAAGGAGAGCCACCAAGATCTTTCAGGACTCCTCACACCCCATGTTCCCAGAATTAATATGGCTCTCATCTGGACGTCAGTGCAGTGTCCAGGTTGCAGGTCACAGATGAGGAAGGACATCTTTGTTTCCCTTCTCAATCAAATGGCCTTGACATGGGACCATCTGGCTTTTCCCTTCTGATCTTGACCCATCCTGCTGTTCACTTCTACATCAAGACCACTCAGTGTGCTTATATTGTATTGAGGGGGATGGAATATAAGCACCAAATTTGATTAATCTTATGAATTTGTTTGATTAGACTCTGTTAGTCCAATCAAACCAGGTGACAACTCTCTCACACCTGGTTGTCACCTGTTCAGGTCAGTACAAAGCAGCTTACCACATGGCAATGGGATGCACTAGAAATAATGGGGTTAAGGTTAAATTGGCTTTAACTTGTCTCCTTTTGTCTAACCGAATGCTTTCTCTTCTACCTGGTTGTCGTCTGTTCAGGAGGTCCTGGGCAGTCTGTAGACATATCGGCCACTCCGTGGGTGAAATTGGGGCACACTGGGGACAAAGTGCCACACCAGCTGTGCCAGCCATCATTGCCTGCCATGGAGTAACGTTAGCTGACCGAATGCCCCGACCTCTGGACTATGTCTAAGTTTTTAACCCTTTTGATAGACTCAGTGGACTTCTCCCACTCCTGACCTGTTCAGTCCCTTTTAAACCGGCTGTAGATTATTGTAATAAAATCTGAACTTTGCTGTCTATAGTCAATCCTCTGGTGATCCAACCTACCTGTCGTGCTCGGTGTGAAGCCCTTAGGAGGTGTTACACCACCACCAAGTGAAGGCCACCATAAGAGGGCATAAGAGAGTCCAGATTCCACATGTTCTATCTACTGTAGTTTGGAACTCTCCTGTATCATTAACATTTTTGTGTTTCAACCTAACTACACAGAACCAGATGGTCTTTACAGCAGAAGTATTTTACTACTTGTTCTGCATTCTCACATGTTTCTGTTTTACTTTGTTACTTTTATTTCATTATTTATTATGCATAATATCTTCATGTAAGTATGATTATTATTCTGTGAAGCAGTTTTAGTGTTAATGTAAGGTATACTTTATTGTTGTTGTAGTGAAATGTGTCCTCTGCATTTGATCCATCCTTCAGTCTCTCCAGTTAAACTTGTCAGGAGCAGGGGGCAACCATAGTGCAACATAGTGGCAGGCATGTTTATTGTGCTTGTTGTACTGGGAATGTAACATTATTTTGAAGTTAGAAGTTCCTTTTACATGTAGTATCGGCCTACAAAATTACTTTTCCTACTTTGTGTCCCAAACAAACAGATTTAACTCTTTAACTTTAAGTAGTCTGTGTTTTATTTTTGCTCCTAGTTTTAGCCCAGTTATAATCCTGGTTTAGTCCTGATGTAGTCCAGATTTTTAACCATGTTTAGTCAAGCTTTAGCCCATATGTTTTTCTGTGGTCACTGACACATTTGTCTCTCTTGTTTACATCCCATTTTGTGGCTTTTACAACTGTCTTATTAGCATATTATAAATGTACTCCTGCAGCTACTTGTTTTCACTGTTCTGTTGCTTTATACCAAACCATTATGTTTAACCATTCTCTTATTTATGTAGTGATGTTTAATTGCATAAGTTGAGTTTTGCTAATTGTAGTGACCTGTGCATCCCCCTCGTTGCCACTAGAGGGCAGCAGATATGTTTCACTGTTACAGAATGGGACAGCGTTGGTGGTTGATGTTGTTAGACACTAGATGGACAATTGTTCTGTATAAATTTCTTTGCCTTAGCCTTTTGGTTACTTCATTTCGGACAGCGTTTTTTTGTTTGTTTTTGTTTATTTTAGTTTTTTAAAATGTTTTCTAGTTCTAATACCCATAAACATCCCATTACAATAATACAATTTTACTTAAAGTCTGGTTTTTATTTTACTTAAAGTCTGTTTTTGTTGTTGTTTTTTTGTTGTTGTTTTTTTTAGTTTAAATTGTACTTCCTGGTTGGACACGGGCTGCAGATATGACAGTTTGAACTTTAATTCACTGTTATTTTCTGCATTTTTGTACTGATATAGTATAAACTAATGGTCAAATGATCAAACTAATACTAATATTGACTAAAGTGTTACATACGTGTAAAATAATACAATTTCTCAATTTCTAATGTTTTCTTTATTATATACAGTGTTCAGATAAAGAAATATTGATTAAGTTTGTGTTAAAGCCTTAAATGCATTTAGGCTATGATGTATAAGTTTATAATAATGCATGAAAATACAATCACAACTAAATAATAATAACAATTCAGGTTAAAAATCATGAAATTAAGTAAAAAATCATGTCATTGTCCCGATTATTTCAGTATATAGTAAATTATTCCAAAATCTCATGTCTCGTCTTGCCTCTCTTCCCACTCCTAGTCTTAAGTAGTCTTTGCAGTGTTTATTTACTTTTAACACAGCATAGACTGTCTGCTCATATTTCATGTTAATGTATTTTTCATCCTTCCACAGCAGCTAATTGCTAGAACTTCACAACATTTATAATTTAAAACAATTTGCATAAAACCTGAATTATTGTGATCATTAAGATCTTGGCAAATCTACTTTTTTTTTTTTTTTTTTACACACCTGTGTTCAACCCCAGAGCTCTCATGAAAACACGATGTGCATCTTCTGTCAGTGAGTTTAGTATGTAATAAAGTGCTCTGTAGGTTGTAAAACTTGAAAGACTCATTGCAACTGGTATTCCAATAACTGGGACAAACCTGGCCCCTTCCTCTAAAGCTGATGCTGTGATGTGAGTGGCAGACATGGACAGCACTCTTAGCACCAAATCTCTGGTTACTTGATCTGCTGATGCCAAAGGAGATTTTAGCTCTTTCTTGAGATCATCTAAAGACACCCCACTAACATCCGACAGTTTTCTGCAAAGAATCAAGAGTAAGACCCAGTGAATTCAGACATGCAACACTAAAGCCTAATATCATGGTCAGATCAAGACCCTCAGAAATACCAGGGACAGGCACAGCTGCTCCAGCTGCAGATGTTAAAGCGAGCCATTTTATTCTGCTCCCTAAAGTTTTTTTCTTCTCATCAATGACTTCTGCACTGATAACTGGCAGAGCGAGCAGCAGCACATCTCGTTGGTGTTTAGGAAGTTCTTTCTCTAAGGTTTTCCACAGCAGATTGAATTCATACAAGTGAAGTCTGAGACTGGACACCAGGAAGACCTTTGCAGACTGAATGTCAAGGTCCTGAAGTCCTGCATCAAAATAAAACAGAAGATAGATGAACATGTAGAGTAGACCCAAACAAACAAAGACGCTTACCTTTAATGCAGTCATCTCTGATGGTTTTAAGGAGATCCTCCTCATTTCATGTCTGGGTCACCGTCCTTCTCATCTCTTATGCTGTGGTCAATCTTGGATCGAACAAAGTAGAACTTTTTATTCATCCTCTGAATTTCTTGAGCCAGTCTTGCATCATTTTCTCTGAAGCGATCACTGGAAACGATGATGAAGAAGTCGTACTTCTCAAACCCCACATGCTGCAGGTATTTGTCAGCTGTAAACTTGGTGGTACCAATCCCGGGCAGATCCCATATTCTAATCTTTGGGTTTTGTGGGTGGAGGTACACTGTGGGCTCCATCGTGGTCTCCACTGCACCTGTAGGTGCTGCTCCTTGTGTTTTGTTTTTTATTCCTCTCAGAGCATTCACCAGAGAAGATTTACCAGAGCCTGACTCTCCAGTGATCGCAATGGTCACAGGAAGATTGTTTAGCTTTTCTAAATAGTTCAAAGCCTTTCCAGCTGCTAGAGCCTGGTCATTGTTTTGAAGATCAGATTGAAGTTCTTCTTTCCACTGTTCAGCCATGACTGCCACTGAAAAAAGAAATGATAATCAACAATTATAATGAGTTATATGATTATCATTTAACATCATTTTACTGTCCTCAGTACCATCCACCCAGTCTTCAAGCTCCATGTTTGACTTCTGACAGCACTAGGGCACCTCAAGACTGTGTTCTTTCCCCACTGCTCTTCTTCACCTGCTGCACTTGTGGCCACGAGACTGTCAAAAATACAATTTGCAGATGACATGACAGAAAAAAAAAAAAAAAACATTTAGCCATTGTAGCCTTTTTAGCCCTTCAGAGTAATTTTATAAAAGTTGATAAAGTCTGATACACTGGATGGAGCAATGGTCCGACTATAGCGAGCAATGATCTGACTGTATGGAGAGATAGTCTGACTGTAGGGAGCAATGGTCTGACTGCACGGCACGATGGTCGTATACACTGTGTGGAGCGATGGTTTGATATACTGTGCAAAACGATGGTCTGATATTTATATAATGTTCTTGTGATGATAAGACCTAAGCAAGTTATAATTAAAAGCTCTATCACAGTGACCTTTACGAATGCCTGTGAACAGTCTATGAGAGTTTTTTGGGCCTATTGGGACATAAGGTTGAAATATTGCACTTTTCACGTGCTCACGCGCATGTGCTTAAAAACTTAGTTTTTTGTAATGTTATGAAACAGTAAAGTTTCTATGGCTTTATCAGTAAGTTATTGTAGTTGTTTTAAAATGTAGTTTATGAGGCGCTCGTAACAGTTGTGTGCTGTTACACTTGTTGCTTCTTGATAATTTATTTTCAGTTTTGCTTGGTCCATTTAGCCTCTAAAACTTCTGCTAAAACTCATTCATGCAAAAGCTTGAGGTGTAAAACATGCATAAAATTATCATGATCTGGAAAAGGATACTTTTGCACTAAACAGAATCCAAAAATACACCAAAAATCTATAAAATCTTTAAAAGGTCAACTTGACAGTCACATGGGGCACTTGAGAACAATGTTAGAACTCCACAACCTTAACCTTAAGTTGTTTTTGAGAACAAAAAGGAGCCATGTGAATCTTAAGTATTCTGTAACACACAATGAAAGAATTCATACACTGAAAAGGAATGCTATCTAACTTGTTCTATTGTTGCAGTGAGGCAAATATTTATATTTATTTCATCTACAGGGCTTTGTTATTACCAGTTCTCACACTTTACTATTTTGACTTTGTCTGATGTTAGTTACTATTTATAGTGTAAATCCCCAACTCATTTGTTTACTTAACCTCCTAGACAAGATAGTTACAGTGAACACCATAGTGTTGCATACTGCCTAACTTGGAGGGGGGGACGACCCCTGAAACTATTGTTTTAGTTTGCTTAAGTTTGCTTAAAATAAACATAACACAGCCAGGCATTTTCAATTAATAACAAAAGAAAATAAATACACTTGCACTACTGTTCTTTGGAGCTCTTAATTAAAAAAAAACTACCAATACTATTTTCAGTCACAAAAATGAGACAAACTAACTGAAAGAGCAACTATCTGAAAGAGCAACTATCTGGAAGAGCGACTTTCTGGAAGAGCGACTTTCTGGAAGAGCGACTTTCTGGAAGAGCGACTTTCTGGAAGAGCGATGCAAGACACAAATATTCAAATAATTTCATATTGTCCACATTAACAATATAGTGTCATGTTTACCAACTTTTTTAAGCCAATTTGATGGTTTTCAACTGTTTAATATTTTCTGTTAAAGTATATGTCTAATTATATAAAAGTAAATCACTGTGTTACCTTGATCCTGCCAGTCAGTCACCTTTTCTCTGTTTGAGAGATAAGAGTCTAAAGTCTGCGTATATTTATCCACACCTATCAAACAAATAAAGTTGGTTTTGACGTCACAACATTCAAATCTGCTCATTCTGTAAAACTAGAGGACAGAACAGATGCAAATGGAGAGTTTGGAGTTCAAGTTTTTAGATCATCACCACAAAATTGCATATAAGATTTGGTTGGAATTAAACACTAAAACATATTTTGTGTTTTACAGGTGACTACCCAACATGCTGTGGAGCTGTAAATACTGTGAGTTCAGCTGTGATAAGAGAGGTTACTACCTCAGACACTACAGAACACTAATTTCTTTTCTTTTTTTTTTTTTTTTTTTTTTAGATTTGTCTGAAATTCAAAAGGATTGTGGGAAAAGACCTGCACCAGGAATTTTATTCTGCCCTTGATAACCACACTACCCATTTTATTGAAAGTTTTAAAGCTAAGAGGGGCAACGTGGGTGACAGTTGGCACAGCTTTTGCAGCAAATGCAGGTAAAACTTTTGTAACCCGGATAAAAATACATGTGCAGTAAAAGCATAAGTTCATAACATAGTTAATCTAAAATGGATAAAAAGATAATTAATTTTTATTAAAATACATAGTTCATGTTAATGATTAAATGTATATTTACAGAAGTGTTTGCGTCTCTGTATATTTCTTTTAACTTATCATACAGTATCCATTTTCTGTCTTACAGTCACTGGATTCTACTGAAAAAAGGACAGTCACACTAAGAGGGCTTCCTTACTTACTCGGAGACAATCCCACTGAATTCTTCAAATCTAGAAGCTTTGTAAGTGCACATTTTGTTTGTAATGTGAAACTTTTAGAATGTGACATTTATTGTATAATTTGAATATGCCAAAACTGACAAAGTAGTCTATACATTACGAGCTCCAGCCATTCCATAAATATTATTTATCTTAAAGTCAGATTATTATTGATTTTCAAATATTTGTTTGAACATTTGAAAATGCTTGACCAAATAGTTATCATGTCAGCATAAATTGAATTTCATACAATTTATGTTTTGTCATTCTTATTGAGTCTGTTGTAGTTCAGTAATTTCATTCACTAATGGTTATGTTTCTGGCATTAATGTTTTTGTTTTTCTTTAGGATGGTGATGAATCCTTTCGCCAAATGGACATTGGGATCTTGTTAGTAAATCTGAAGGTGTCTCTCTTCCAACACCAGATCTTCCCCCAGCAAGTCTGAAAATCATCATTGAGGGTGAAATTGTTATGGACAAGCTGACAACCCTTATAAGCCCTTGTTTGAATTGTGAAATGTAAAACACAAAAGCAAATGCTGTTACAGGGAACAAACAGAAGACTGCACTTTATTCAGGTTTAAGCATGTTATTATTGCACTATTTTTGCAATAAATTTGTGAGAAAAAAATTGTCATTTTATGTCAATTATTTAAAAAAATATGATGATTTATAATTTGCATCTAATTATTATAAATAATAAACAATCAATAAATACTCATAAATATGAGAAATACATACTGATAAAAATAAGTAATGATTACTGTAATACACAAGTAATGGTTAGTTAATTACTTTTACTTACATTAGTTTTAGAAACTTAAGTTCTTTAGTAATGGGTTACCTTGGACAGAAGACTTTATGTAAACAGAGCTTGATTTGTTTAGTTTTTGATATTGTAAAAACTAGACATCCCAGTGCAATCACTTACCACGCGCGGTTTTAGTAATGATTACTAATTTGGGTTTACAGTGTAGATCCATCTCACACCATCTATCTCCTATTTACAACTCCATCCTCAAACCTAAATCAAAACAAACAAGAGAACAACAGGTGTAGTCCAGGTCAGGTCCAGAGGTGTGGAAGCTCCATTATGGCCATGAATTGTTCTGCTAATTAAACCCCACACCCTGTACAGGTCAATAGACCGAACTAACAAACAGAAACTGTAAGCAAATGTGTGTGTTAGTTTCAGTGTAGTTTAGCTCCTCCCTGCAGATATAAGGAAGTGTCCACCAGCGTCTGACCACAACTGAAGAAGCAGCTTGGATGAGCTGCGAAACGTCTTCAACCAAACTAACTTTTGTCCAGTCGACAAACTGAATTTTCTCCTCGCCATTACTTGAAGATGATTCTGCGCCATTGCCCCCTCCGACTAACACTCACACAGACACCACATTCATAGGACACAATGACGGAACTTGATCTAACTGAGAATCAAACCTGTAGTGTCAAATTTTTATTCACATTTTTGTTGTTATGTAAAAAGCTCTGGGTTCCAGAAATAAAAGATTAAGTTAAATGTTTTGGGTTTTTTTTTGTTTTTTTTTATGAAAATATCAGGGATGGCCCTTGACATGACCATCATAATGAAAGAGAAACCACTGCATTGTCTAATAAAAATGCAAACCTAAAATAAAAATGCAAACCTGATGCTACAGATATTTCTAGTGCCATGTTTAGCAACTTTATTCCTGTCTTTCACTGCCAGTCTGAACTGGGACCACAACAGATTGTTTTTTTTTTTTTCTAGATTTTTCAGACTTAAAACTCTTTTCTGTTTCTGTTTTTGTTTTTTATTAAAGACAACAGAATATAATATTTAACAAAATACAATCACTAAACTCTGTTAATCTGAGGTGAGATAAATTTTATTTATTCATAAAACATAGGTGACCAATGACCTCCTTTGTTTGTGTCACTGAAAAAAAAAAAAAATCTGATTACCCAAACATGTTTGGCAGGGTTTAGACACAGTGGAGGGAGTGGGAACCAGACTGATATCAGTCTGTACAAACAACACAGAGAAACATCAGTTTGGATTTGCCAGGCAACAGATTTTAAACTTGGAGCAATCAACAGAAAATTCAACAGACCTGAATCCTCTTTTACCATACACTCAAGAGTACAGTTACATCGCATTTCCATCACCTAACTATCTAGAAATGTCACAATTTGACTTTACAGTAAGATTAGATCAGCCTATTGAGGGTGATGTCCTGTGATGTGTTTACAGTTATGTTTAATTTGAAGTCCCTTTCTACCAATTCCTGCTCTTCTCGCTTCATTGTTTTCCATTCAGGTTTTTCAGGTTTTCTAAATTATAATGTTTTTTTTTTTTTTTTTTATCAATTACTAAAAAACATGCCTAGAAATATTGAAATAAAATCATACCTTGATCTTCCAGTCTGAAGTCTGAGAGATGAGTGCTCAGTCACCTCTATAATGAACCACACCCACTGATATGAACTGGAAGTGGACAAATTTGTTTTGACAACATTCAAATCTGCCCACAAAGAGGAAGAACGTGTTATCTTTTTTTGTTTTGTTTAGTTTAACGTTCTGCCATGTCATAATGTTGAAGAGATGTTAAGGCTCATTTATGCTACCTTCTAGACTCATATGGATATAAATGGACGTGTCCATAATCTGGTTCATCTCCTTGGAATTTTAGCAACAGACCTGTACATGAGCTAACCACTGGGGTCAGTAATGAACACAGCTCTACAGTGAAAGCCAAACATTTCAAAAAGTGACTAAAACAAACTGCAAAACAAATACATTCTTCCCTTACCTCATTTATCTAGACTCTTTTCCAACATATCTGCTCTGAAACCTGTCGTGGGCGCCTTCATGTTGTTTTTTATTTGTTGCTCTATTTTGTCCATTTTGGTAAATTCTCACTTATAGACTTTTAGCACCCTCTAGTGATTGTTTAAGAGAACACAACCTTGACATTAGAAAAGTTTAATGCAGTGACGTTTACTACTCTTAGAATGTATAGATATTTACATATGAAAGTGGTGCATACATGGGCCTTTAGACGTCATCCATGCATGTTTGAGTAATTTAGTAATCTCTCCAAGGCTCTATTCAAACTCTCTTTACAGTTATCTGTAAGATGCTGTGCAATGCTCCTCCCACAAGCCTACATCATCCGTGCTCCCACATGACAACTCTCCATAAATGTACAAAAGCAAGATACAATTGTAAAACTCTGAAGGGGGAGTGACTTAACACATGGAGCAAAAGGAGGAGTCATTATTTGCCTGATAAATAGATATGAGGTTATGATTGGGTCTAGAAACTATAAATGATTAAGTTATGAAAATACCTCCAAAATGAAAGAGAAACCAGTTCTAATCCAAGTCTAAACCAAGTCTAAACCAAGTCTAAACCAAGTCTAAACCAAGTCTAAACCAAGTCTAAACCAAGTCTAAACCAAGTCTAAACCAGGTCTAAACCAAGTCTAAACCAAGTCTAAACCAGGTTTAAAGGAACCAGAGAGAGACTTTATTGATTCAGAGGGAAAGTCAAGTTTTACTGCAGTAACATTTACAGTGTGTGTCTCAGTGGCCTTTGTGTCTCAGTCAAAGGTCTCAGTGCAGTTTCACAGGAGGACTGGTCAGGGAGGGTCAGCAGATCTGTGGCAGGAGGAAAGCCAAGCTCGAAAGCAGGACTAAACCAGATCTAAACCAAGGTCTAAACAAGATCCAAACCAGGTCTAAATCAGGTTTTATACAGTCTAAATACCAGTGAGTGTTTGTGAATAATTCAGGTGGGTCCCGTTGGGTGTGACTCCCTTGGGTGCCATTAGGCCTGGATCAGAGGGGTCTCCTGGGGCAGAGCGCAGGGGCAAATAAACACTGGCATTTACCATAGACACAAAATAATAGAGCCCAGAGACAGCTCCAAGTGACTCTGTACTTTTACCAGACGGTGCTATAGACGTGTAGGGCTGTAGGCCTTTAGTCTCAGTCAACCAAAATGTATATTAGTCGACTAGTTATTTCATTTAGACAATAAGGAGTGAGCTGAAGTTTTGGTATTTAACTGTAAAAAGTCAGATTAAACTCATGATTCAAAGGTTTAATCTGTCTTTTTATAAACACATTGTTTCCTAAGACTTGGTGCAGTCTTGTGAATACAGTTTGGGTCAGATATGAAGAGATAAGGAATAGCTCCCTTTTTATTCGACTAATGGATTGGTAGGACAAGTCTATACTCCACCACAAATTTCTCTAGTCATTTCTCACAGTCAGTGTAATTATTATTATTATTATTATTATTATTATTATTATTATCTATTAGTGTAAGTAAACATCTGTGCCGCATTCGCCCTGTGGCAGTTTGACAGACAGTGGCACCCAATCTGTGGCTGGGTAATTTTTTCCAGATTTCAAGGATTTTGTGAGCAGTGAGAGCTTTTTCCCATTCAAAAGATTCTATTATGATTTTGAATTATGTGTGTGCTGTGACTCTGCTACAGTCTGTCCACGCACCAACATCTTGCCTTTTAAAAGTTTATTAAAGGTCATTAAAGGTGATAAACACCCTTTCAAAGACATTTTATCACTGATCAATCAATCATTTCTAATTTGAAATAAATTATTAGCTTTGTGTTGTATCTACTCTACATGGTAATTAATTTAGTTAAACACAAAAACATTTATGGGTTCGGTCAAGTGGTAACGGAGGGAAACGGGCAGATTTGTGACATTCAAATGTCTCTTATTCAGAACACTAGAGGGACTATTGAAATAAGTAAAGTATCAGAATGTAGGAAAGAGTTACACTCCAACAGGGTCAAGTTAAACCTGTGATATTCTTTCAAGTTGTTGACAAAAAAATTTTAAAAACTCATGTCGGTAACGGAGGGAATGAAATATGCAGCACTTTTTTGGGCAATAAATCCAAACAGTGATAACTCTTGGTTCTCACTTCCATATCCTTAACAAACTGGTTTGAATATTTGCTTCATATAGTTTTCTACCATATGGTACAAGATTAGGTTGAAAAACCTCTTACTTTTTGACTCATGAGATTTTTTATGAAGAAAGGTCATGGTAACGGAGGGAAAAGTAACGGAGGGAAAATTGTGCAAACAAGTAGAAGGTGCAGGATTTTTTCTTCCGAATACTTTAATATTACTTCAAAATGAAAGGAAACTATTTCTATAAAATATGTCAGTCCTTCCAAGCAAATTTTTATCATTTTAAATACATTTAAAAAAAAAAATCATTTACCTTCATCAACAGTTCAAAGATGGAATAACACAAGATATGATGAAATACATCCATTTATTGACATGATTTGCAGGTCTTTGAAATTTGGGAAATAATTTTTGTTCCATGTTTCATACATGGTCTGTTTAAAACATATGGAACTTTAGAACCAAAAATGGTACAGAAAAAAGGTCAACAGTTTCATAAACTAGAGTACATATGTATCTGTTCAATACATTTTTATATCAGATGCATTAACTTGATTTTTTGGCCTTGTTGTTTACTTCTGCTTGACTGGGCCCTTATTTAACTTTCAACACATAGACCTACTTTTACAAGGGAGTATTAGATGTAGTTTGTCAGCGTGTGTTGCTATTCAGATTAGGTTAAGATTAGGAACAAAAATGTCATGTTTAAACAGTGGATTTTTTCAGTCTTTTGTTATGGCCACTGTTTACTTTTCGAGACCTGTGGATCGAGGTATGCTGCACGAGAGAGCCAAACCAACACCACATACTAAACAGGACAAGACCATGAGAAAATGAACAGACCCAGGACTAAAGCTCATATTCATTTACATAACCTCATTCCTAATGCTGGAATCCAGTATCATTCATTTACAGGCTTCAGTTTGCTTCTACTTGGTGGCAGTAGCTCAGGTGGTAGAGCATTCGCCCACTGATCTGAAGGTTGGTGGTTTGAATCCAGTTCTCGACATAAACATCACAGGTGGTCAGATCCATTGACCACAGGTTGGCTGATGTGTGATTCCAGCTCCCACAGATGAATGCTGTCGTTGTGTCCTTGGGCAAGACACTTAACCCACCTTGCCCACAGTGTCTGCATACACTGGTGTATGAATGAATGTGTGAGTGGTTCCTTGTTGTAAAGTGCTTTGAATGCCTTGAAGGTGGAAAAGTGCTATAGAAAAAAGGGACCATTTACTTACTTAAAGATTTTGTTTAGACTTAGTCCTGGTTTGGTCCATGTATTAGATTTGGTTTAGACCTGGTGTAGTCCTCCATCCATCCATCCATTTTCTCCCATTTATCTGGGCCCGGGTTGCAAGGGCAGCAGTTTAAGCAGGGACTTTTTCAAGTAAGACTAACTTATTAGATTTTACAGTGCATCTACTCACATGCACCTGTTTGTTTCTTCTCCCTCCCTGCTTTTCTTTCTCCTTTTGCTTCCCTCCCTCTCTCCTCCTATCTCTCACTCCCTCCTCTTTCCCTCCCTCTGTATTCCTCTCTCTCCCTACCTCTGCTCTCTTCCCATCTCTTTCTCTCCCTCCCTCCTTTCCATCTACAGTGCTTTTCTCCCCTCCCTCTCTCCCTCCTCTCTGCTCTCCTCTGCTGTCGCGCCTCTCCGTCAGTGCGTCGCGTGCAGCCGCTGGAGCTCGCGGTACCATGCGCTCTGGGTCTCCGCACAGCGAGCAGCCTCAGCCTCAGCAGCCGGCCTCAGAAGCACGATGCCCGGCGGGAAACGCGGGCTGGTGGCGCCGCAGAACACCTTCCTGGAGAACATCGTGAGGAGGTCCAGCGGTGAGTTTGTTTGGAGACGAAAACCGGACGGATTTAACGAGGATTTAACGTCCGCAATAAGCTTTTTACGCACGAGATTTCACGCGGATGTACCCGTTTATTTTGGGGGATTTTGGAAGCAATTTAATGTTTATTTTCCTTGGACTAAAATCTTGCCTTGGATAAACAGCTTTCATCTGAGAAGACTACTACAGGTTTGGTTTTGAAGCGGTGTAAGACAATGGAAAACTTTGTGATTTATGAGACAAGTGCATAGCGGCAACACTTTCTTTGCAGTTCGCCTATAATTTATCAACTTAAAAATGTAACTTGCAACTGTTTCCTACGAACTGAACATCTGTGAGAAACTTGCTAGCGTGCAGACAACAATAATGATTTAATATTTAGATGATTTGCAGAATCGTTTTGACGCATTTCTGTGGTCAAAACGAAACAAAAAAATCACCTACAATAACATGACTTACCTATTCTGTGGCTATTGGCTAAATCCTGTTTTTATAATTGGATTCTAGTCAATAGTGATTCAACCTTTAGATAGGCTAAATTACAGACTCGAGCCTTTAAAAGGACTATTTGTGAAGGCATTTTACCTCTTGGATTTGAGTCTATAACAGAGTTTAGTCGAGCGCAACGGGTCGTTTTACGCACCGTTATCGGTTGGTTGGGTTTAATTAAATTAACAGAAGTTGTCACATTTTCTAAGTTAACTCTGATTCAGAACAACTAATATATTATCAGTTATACCTGCTCAAGTAAAAAACTGTTAGAGCCATCCTCGGTCTCCCCCATTTTAAATCACTTGGGATTTCTAAAGACCTGGTTATCCTGGTTATATTAAGATCTAGTTGTCACCAATTAACCTCTCATTTAACTGAATGAAAAACTCTGGACCAATTTTTTTCTTGTGATCACCACGAGTGCTCCGAGGTGGGCAGAGAAATACAGATACAGATCAGATTGTTTTGAAGTTATGCAAAATTCAAATATGCAGTTTGTCGTTTACAGTAAAAATGCAACAAAAAGATTTGATTAAAACTGAAAATGAAATAATATCGTAAATTAAAGTTTATTAAGGTACATTTCTGCACTTTTGTGTGTAATTTTACTGTTATTTGATACTTAAACCTCAGTTGATGTCATCAACATTCCCTGGGATGTGATGCTAACTGTAGGCACTTCTCTGACTGAAGCTCTGTTACTCAAGTTAGACTTGAGTCTGTGCTTTGTATTTGTGCTGTTAAACAAGTAACAAATAACATCACATGTCACAAGCTGGGCAGCTTTAGCCAACAGTTTTTCTGTCAATCCCACTCACCATTCCACCATAGACATGCAGGCAGAACACAAAGTAACAAAGAAACAAAGTATTATTATTATTATTATTATTATTATTATTATTATTATTATTATTATTATTATTTATTTTTTATTTTTTTTTAAAACATCTTATTTAATTAAGTGAACTTGTATTATGAATTTGAAATGTGAGTTTCAAGACCAGTGCTTCAGTTCTGGATTTATATTTATCACTGTGCATCAGATGCCCTCCCATCCCCCTTCAGTTTATGCCTGTGTGTGCTCCTGTATTCTTGTGTATCAGATGCCCTCCCATCGGCATATATCCCTATGTCAGATTCTCTCCCATCCTCCTGTATCCCTGTAGTGCTAGACTGAGGTGTCGTGGTGTGTCAGATGCCCTTCCAGATGTTGTGGTGTGGTTTGATAAACACGGCAGGAGAATGGACCTTGTCACTTATAGAAACAATCAGGAAAAAAAACATCTGTGGGTACGTGGAGGACACGGTCTCTTTCTCCGTGTGCCAGAGGGACGTGTGTTTGAGACTCGCTCAAGGCTCTAGTCTGGACCTGAGGCAGACCTCAGGACAGACTGGACCAGACTCTAATTGGACCAAAGATGCTGCAGTGTAAAACTGCATGTACCACATGTCTCATAGGGCTACAGTGACAGTAAGACATGGACCAGTGCTTTTTCCTCATTTACGTCCTGCTTCAGTCCTGTTTTAGTCTTGGTTTTGTCCTGGTCTTAGTCTTAGTTTAGTCTCTTTTTTTTAGTCTAGGTTTAGTTCTGGTTTTAGTCCTGGTTTAGTCTTGGTTTAAGTGTTGGCTTTATCCTGGTTTTAGTCTTGATTTAATTCTGGTTTAGTCCTGTTTTTTTCCTGGTTAATCCTGATTTTAGTCTTAGTTTAGTTTTGGTGTTGTTTTAATTCTGGTTTTAGTCTTAGTTTAGTCCTGGTTTTGTCGTGGTTTATTTGTGGTTTTAGTCTGCTGATAAAAAGGGTTTGTGAAGCAGTGTTTTCAGCTGCCAAATATGAAAATCCAACTATGCTCAAGTTACCTTAGAGGTGCTGATGTTACTTGTAGTACTTATGTAAGAAAATATTACTTTAAAACAGAGTTATTTATTTTGCTAGTGCAGTGTTTTTGCAGTGTTACAAAGATCTGTTTTAGTCTTAGTTTAGCCAGTATATTAAAGCACAAGTCTGGAAAACAGAGTTCAGTTCTGATTTGGACCTAATCCTGGTTTAGTTATAGTTTAGTCCTGATTTAGTATCATCTCAGTCTTGGTTTAATCCTGGTTTAAATCACAATTTAGTCCTGGTTAAGACTTAGGTTAAGTCCAGATTTAGTTCTTGTTTAGTCCAGATATGGTGTTTGTTTATCCCTGGTTTAGTCCTGGTTTAGTTCCACTTTAGTCCTGGTTTAGCCCTGATTTAGTCTGGGTTTCAGTTCTTGTTTAATCCTGGTTTAGTCCTGTTTAGTCCTGGTTTAGTCTTCTCTAGTCATGGATTAGTCCTATTTTATTCCTTTAGTTTAGTCCAGGTTTAGCCCAGGTTTAGTTTAGTCCTGATTTAGTCCTGGTTTAGTCCTAGTTTAGTCCTGGTTTAGTCCTGGTTTAGTCCGTTAGTCCAGGTTTAGTCCTAGGTTTAGTCCTGGTTTAGTCCTGGTTTAGGTTTAGTCCAGGTTTAGTCCTGGTTTAGTCCTGGTTTAATGGTCCTATTAAAGCATGTTTCATAATTGTCTCTTAATTAGCGTTCTCCTCGTGTGGCGTTCCCTCATTTCCATTTGTGCTGACTTGTGTTTACAGCTGAAAATCTGCTGAGTCATGCTTTATTTCAACTGTAAATACAGCGCAGGTTTGTGGCAGAGTGGTTAATGTTTCTCCTGGAGGTAGCTTTAGAATGAGTTTAGCCACTAGTTTAGTCATGGCTTAGTCCTTATTTAGTCCTGCGTGGCTATAGTCCTGGTTTGATTCTGGTTTAGACCTTGTTTAGTCCTTGTTTAGATCTAATGTAATCCTGATCGAACCTTTGTTTTAAAAGTCCTACATTACACAAAATGGACTCTTGTGAGCTTTTAGTCATTTTAGAATGTTGTTACCTTCGTCAAAAACAAACCTGGAGTTGTGTTTTGTCTCCAAAGCTCAAAATTCTGGTAGTTTTCAAGTTAACAGCTCCTTTCACCTTTAGTTCAGTAGAGTTTGGCAATTCCAATGATCCGCATGATTCTAGTGAAGGTGTATGGAGTTTAATCACACTGAAGCACTTCCTGTATTACCACATGACATCACAAGGTGGAGAGAGAAGTTTGTCTGAGAGAAGAACTCAGCCTCAATGTGCAGAGTTTGTGTGTTTAACATGTGGGAATGAAACAAAACACAACTCCAGGTCTGTTTGTGATGAGGAAACTACATTAGAACATAGGTCAGAAAATAATGTAATATTTGTCTTTAATTATGTTTTTAGTCTTAGTGTTATGTTGGTAAGGCATTCTTAAAGGTGCATTGTGTAACTTTTTAATTGGATATGTCATTGCTCTGCCTGGAATGTTCCACAGTATGACATTAAAGATCTCTACCTTACACTTATTTTATTACAGGTGGTTTTATAGCTCAAAAATATCTAGAAAAACAGACATTCTGACTGTGAGTGGGGACGCCTCTCCACAGATCTGACCTGTAATGTGATCTGGACTCCATGGCGATAGAAAGAATAGAAACATCTTCAAGGAGAAACACATCTGACGGATCCTCCACCAGAAAAGTTACACAATGCACATTTAAAATAAAAGAAATAACACGTTTTATTGTCCTAACCACAGAAATACTGAATATGAGCTGCTCCTTTCTTTAAAAAGCTCTCCTCCTTCTCTCCTCTTGTCCCTCTAACCCTGGTTTAACCCACGGGCGGCCATTTTGGCTCAACTGTGTCAGTAATTGGTCGGAGATGAAAGGGGAAAGGAGGAAACTGCCCGGGTCTGTGTCAGCTCTTGGATCCAGCAAGGATTTACTCCGAGGAGAGATGGTCATTAGATAATAGTCTGAATCGGCTCTTTCCTTTCGCGGTCTGACCCCCGTAAACCGCATATCCCACAATGCTTTGGTGCCGTGTTCATTTAATGGTTAGACTTTTATTGAGTTAAACCACTGCTGCCAATTTATAGTGTTTTTATACGGTAGATGATGGATTTCCAATTCATTATACCTCTCCTGCGACTGCTTCGTCTAACTGCTGCGTGGGCCAAATTGACAAAAAAGAATAGAAATTTCTTCCAGATGAATTTTTTTTTTTATTTTTTTTTTTACAGTGAATCAGAAATGTGTCTGTAAATGTGTTCAGATTTAAATATGGCTCAGAAGAAAAGTGAATGAAATACAATGAAATGAATTTATATTGTTTAAAATGAGGTATTTTACATATATTTCTAACACATAACATACTTAGATCACCATTTTATCTTTTCTTGTTTTGAAAATGCTGTATTCACCAAAAAAACAAACAAACATATTTGCATGTTTTATGTATGTTTTTGATGCTTTAAGTCTCCCTTCCCTTTGCTCCCCACGCTAACTCACTGCCCCTTCAGAACGTTGTCACAACTTTCAGCGTGCATCCCACTGTTGAAACTACTGCACGTCGCATCAAGTTTGTCAGGTTCTTGTGTACAGTTTTGTATCATGTTTTTGTATGTATCCTTGTGTG